GTATGGTTAGACTCGTGGGAGTATAAGGATTCTAGTTTTGTGAATTTTGTCAAATTCCGAGATGTGGGCCCGGGGGTCGGGTTTGACCAATTTCTGGAATTTTGTGGTAATTCGATTGTTTTCGCTTGGGCTTTGTTCCTTTAGCATATTGTGACGTATTCGTTCTGATTTTGGATAGATTCAACGCGCGTGGAGGCCAATTCGAGGGGCAAAGGCGTCGCGAGATAGAGAATTAGCCGGTTCGAGGTGAATAATGGTTGTAAATGATGTCCTGAGGGTTTAAAACCTCGGATTGCACATCGTAGTGTTGTATTGAGGTGAGACACGCGCTGGGTGATGAGTGTGGGGTCTTTTACTACTAAGGATTGTGACTTGGTCCGTCCCGATTGATGATTTTACCGCATATTTGACTGAAACTTATTTGTTATCATCATGATTTGTGCCATATTTGGGCTTCGTGCCAACTATTTGAACCCTCCGGGGATTTTTATCACTAATTCCTCACTGATTGACATATTACTTGAACTCAGTCCTGTTGATATTTACTGTTTTATAAACTCAGCCACTTTTATTCGTATTTGAACTTAAATGATATTTCTAAATGATGTTTTGGGCTGGGAACTACTGTTTTACTAATGCTCGAGGGGCTTGTGATGATTTTCGGACTGAGTGAGGCCGAAGGCTATATGTGAGGATATGCTGAGTGATATGAGGCCGAGGGCCTGAGATACTTTTTATTGCCACGAGATTGCTTGATATTGCGCTTGGGCCGTAAGGGGCCCCTTCGGAGTCTGCACCCCCACAGTGAGCGCGGGTACCCATCATGATTTGAGAGTGAGCCCGAGTGGCTGATACTGTACTGAGAGTGAGTCCGAGCGGTTGATATTGTACCGAGAGTGAGCCCGAGGGGCTGATTCTGTTCTGAGTGATTGTTATTGTGCCCGAGGGGCGGATTTCTACTTGTTATTCACTTGCTAAACTACCTGTTTTACTTGGTTTAAAGGAACTTCATTTGATTTCTTCATGGATTTACTGCCTTTAGTGATTTTACTGCTTGATATAGAATTGATTTTTGCCTTTACGTGTTTTCTTGCTTTCACCAATTATTTAAGATTATTACTCACAAAGTCGGAGTACTCACATTACTCCCTGCACCGTGTGTGCAGATTCAGGCGTCGCAGAGTCCACTCCAGACTACTGATCCTCCCAGTCCAAGTAGTGTTTTAGGAGACTACGAGGTAGATGTTGGCGTCCGCAGCCCCCGTACCTCCCTTATCTTACTATTTTAATGTTCTTGAACTTCTGTAATAGATTTCGTATCTAGTAGACTGGTATCCGGAACTATTAGTTACTCATGACTTGTGACACCCCGGTTTGGACTGTGTCGGGATGGCTTTTACCGTTGTTATCGTTAATTCCGCAAATTATGGTTATTATATCATACTTTAGAACTACTTATGGTATTTAACTGTTTAAAAGAGGTGGTCTGTTTTGGTCTGGATGGACTTGTCTTCACGAGAGGCTCCATCACGACCGGGTTCAGGAAATTGGGTCGTGACATTTGTTTTCAAACCCCGAAACAAGATAGGGGTAAACCAACCGATTATTGACAAAAGGAACATAAGTGACGGAGTTATCATCTGAATATCTAAGTTCTGCACTCTTTTTTCCTTCGTTTGATTTTTGTCCCTATTGGGTTTTTCTGTCAAGGTTTTTAATGAGGCCGAGGCAAGGATGAAAAAGATAAAATTTTCCACTTCCCGGTCACATCATAGTGAGTAACCGAAAAGTGGGGGGACTATCTGTATTAGTACAAATTAGACTCGCCATGTGGGTCTATTAAATGGCGACATGTGTCAGTAAAATTTGAAGAAAAGTGAAGAATGACATGTAAAGATGATATGTGAAACACCCCCGGGACCAAACATACTCATACCGTGCATGTTAGCCCGTAACTAATCATCATGAAATAGCCTAGAACAGGCACGAGATTGACTCATTAATTACAGAATTAACTCATCAGTTATAGAATTAACCCATCAGTTACGGAATTTCAGCATTTACACATCGGTTACAAGTCTTCCAAAACCAATGGATGGATTCAGTAAATGCTCATAATGGACACATAATTCAAGGAGACTAGTTACTTAGATTTAGCCCTATAAATAGACATACTTTTACCACCATCAGGGGAATCTAATTTTCTTCTCTATAATTCTATACATTGTAATTTATAGCATATTGCTCTCAAGTTAGCCATAATTCGGCCCTTCAAGCTCTGTTCGGCTCATTATCCTATCAAGGATCATTTAATAGGAATTCTTTCTTCTCTGCTTTATTTTTATTATATTATCTGTCATTGAATTTATTTCTCACTTCTCTATCATGTTGTATTAACGAAATTTTATATCTTTCGGATTGAATCGGTTGCTTGTGGCCCGTCATATAAAATTATTGTTTTGACCTTGAAAACCATTTTTAGGTTAAACAGAACTTACTGGTTTTGTTTGGTTGCTTTTGCTGAAAATTACGTTTTAGCTCTTATTAAGTATTTTGATTGCTCATAATTTCACCTTGTTGCCCCAGTGAAACCCGAAACTGCGTTTTCAAACCCTGGTTGGATGGATGCTTCATTTCTTTCTTCCACTTTCAGTTTGATATTCACGTTTTTTTCCTTTCCGTCAAACATTTATGTTGTGTTCATTATTTGGTTATCTATAACCTTTATGTTCCTTTTCCATTAACTTTGACATCAGGATATTACATTCCTCTGGAAGAGGAAACGTGGAAGCAGTATCAGAAATCTGCCACATAAAAGGTGGTATCAAACTGTTCCAATTGAACCTGATGTGATTTCAATGTCATTCATTCCAATATCATCATTATTGAGCTTACATATTACTCTAGCATTGAATAGGTAAAATAATGCTCTAAGCAAAGACTGTTTTAAGATAGAAACATTAGTCTTATCCAATTTCTTAAAGATTTTGCAATTCATTATTTTTCTTTGCAGCTTTCAGAAATGGAGATTGGCTTAGGTGTTGGTAATAGAACATGGTCCAATTCATGGTAATAGAATGAAAGATGGTCGACTTTGTCCAATCAACCTGTCTATCTATTCCAATTTTAAATTCTAAAAGTTTAACTATCATAAAACTGCCAGTATTACTCAGGTATTATTACTATCCATAGGGGACCACTTGGCACTTAAGAAATCATATACTCCTACTAAATAGAAAAACTGATATTACCATATCCACTCTTCCTTGAACCAAAGCAAAATCCCAGGCAAAGAAGGAGGAGAAGAAGAAATAGAAGAAGATGTATAACATTTGGTACGTACTAACCTTGATTGTACTACCAGCAGATGGTCAATAGTTTAGTTGAACAACAGCATGTTGTGCAGAGGAAGCATCTATAGGTGAACGTGCACTTAACCTTAACATGTCAGGAACAAGTCGCAAATTTGGGTTCAGACGTTGAAGTCGTGCAATGACGTTCATTGTAATATTTTGTTCCATAGCATCCTTTTGTTCGTTCAACTTTTCATGCATTCTTTGTTGCATCCTTTCTTCCATTTCCTCTATTTTCTGCTACATCCTCTCATCAGCATCTAAAGAAGATCCAAGATTCCCTTTTTGCCCTTATAACAAAGTCTTGGTAACTCTACGTCCATACAATCTCACGCGACCTGGATGTTCAGGTCCAATGACTGAAGCAAAAGCATCAACTGAATGACTGTCATCTTCACTTTTCTGAGTTGATTGTATTCTCTCCATTTCAGCCTACAAACCACATACGAGAGAAAAGAGTTTTAAGTAACTAAAATTGAATCAATAATTAAGAACAAATAAATAGTCACGACAAACTTTAAACTAGAAATTTCGTACAACTTTACTAATCGTATTGTCATATGAGCTTTTGTATACTCGGCCAAATTTTCTTTTTCTTGTAGCCACAAATATGTTCTTATTTGATAGAATATCTGAAGTATCAGAGATTTTTTTTTCTTAGTTACATAAAAATAAGTATAAGAATCTTTCCATATAAAGTTAGCAAGTTCATAATTTTAAAAAAAATAAGAAAGATAAAATATCAAACCTCGCGAATTAGAGCAAAAGGTGTTCTGCTAGCAGTTTACGGATACTTCAACTTATTTCGATTCTCTAAATTGATTTCGGACATTTTCTGCAAATAAATGAGTCAACCAATAGCAACCAACAATTATGCCTATTACCCACATCAAGACCCAAGACTACACTCATAGTATTAAAGCTTGCTTGATTAAGTACTATCACAACAACTATCAAATTTCAAACGAAAGAACTGGGTAGTTTTCTTCAGGTTCTAAAAGAAACACCACCTCAAATCCCTTTAAGCAGATGCTACCTTTAGTCTATGCTTAATAGACAACCTTTAAGGGAATTATATTTCTTAACGGGTGTGCTAAAATCTATAGTCCATAAGCAGCATAATTGACTCACCGTTTTTACAAATGTGTTGGCCATTTCTGAAGAACTATTCCAGCTTTAGCACCCCCAACAACCCTTCCAAATAGAAAATGTTAATTGCATCTTTGAATGCACCAATATTTAACTAGGAAAATGAAAACAGATTGTCCTATTCATGCAGTTTTCTATTTCTTTTTAATACAGCTAGTTGGATTTTATATTTCAAAATACTTTAGGGTTTACAAAAAATGACTAGTAGTAGTACTAATTTACTATAGAAACATTTCAAACATAACATGGAAAGTCAGAAGATTGGGGAAAAGCAAATGGTCATAATTGCTACAATAAAACAGAACCAATTTTTAATGCAGAGTATTGGGGATCAAAATCAGATTCAGAGATGATAAAATTGGTGGAAGTGGCCATTCAGAAATTGAAAGAGAAGAGTGGTCTAAAAGTAGATTGTATACATTGGTGCCTTCCTGGAGTTCCTGATGTTTGGAATCACCATACCTTCTTTACTTGTAACCACCCATACAGAACGAGACTAATTACACTTAATGTGAATCTGGGCAGAGAAGTAAGCTCAGCAGACAATAACACATACAAAGGTCACTACACTACAAATGAAATCAATAATAGACTATAGAGAACAAGCACACAGAGAACGTGCAAACAGAAACACCTAAACACCTCAGCAGTGGAAAATAGATTTACCAAATCCTAGGAGAGTAACATCGTCCCAAAATATCTTTCTTCTCTTGGGACAATATAATATGTATTCCAACCAAATTATGTGGTATTAATCACAAAACCAGAAAAAGTCAAAAAGCACATGTATATACCAACAACTGCTAATAGCAAGTAGAAGTTGATGCAAAATAGGTAACAGAACACATAACAAAATTTATCTATCAAATAGTAAAAACTTGCAATAGGTCATAACTTATACTGGAAGGCAACAACTTTAAACATATTATGCCCACCCCTAGTTACAACAATAGTAAAAATGTAGAATTTGTTTATTCTTGAATGGACTGAGACCTTCATGTTCGGTACTATTTTACTTCTGATTCTTTTGACTCGGTGTCACGACCCCGGTTCGCCCTCCGTGAACCATCGTGACGGCACCTAGTCTCTACGACTAGGTAATCCTAACAAATGCGGAAAATAAACAAAACTTGCAGAAGAAATAATTTAAAGCCAAAATAACCGAATGAAACAGAATTTAAAAATGCCGCTCAGCATATACAATACAACTTCTCGAACTAACAATATTTCCCAAAACCCGAAATCTCATGAAACCACAAGCCTTAGGCCTATGGGAGTACTGTTGGTTCTCTCCAATATATCACTCTCACTCGACCGGACCTCCGCTATGCTGTTAATCATGCCTGCCAGTTTAAGGCCAATCCCATCACTGTTCATGATCAGTGTCTTAAACGCATTTTAAGGTATTTGAAAGGCACTCTCCATTATATTATGGTCTTATATTTCCTCATCGCCCTATCTCAACACCTCTTTTTGATACTCTTATGTGGGGCTCGTTGTCCAACAATTCGTCGCTCAACCACTGGATTCTGCATTTACTTTGGTGACAATCTAGCAGTCGTTTTCTACCTCTCGAACACATGGATGCCAAGATCCTTTTCATTAATATTTTAGGACTCCTACCAGTGTCTAAATCTAGAATATATAACAAGGAAAAGAAAATACAGAAGGGCTAATACAATAGGGAGATTAGAAAGGGACTCCTCAGTTTGTGGACGCGGCAGATATATCTCGAAGTCTCTGGAATAGTAGCCTCACCTCAAGGGTGATAGGACTGAGTCAAAGTACCTAGATCTGCACATGAAAAACATGCGTGGAAAGGGCATGACTACACCACAGCGGTACTTAGTAAGTGACAAGCCTAACCTCGGTCGGGTAGTGACAAGGATGGTCAGGGCCCTACTGAGGTTAAATAAAATATAAAGTTCGACAGTGTAGAACAGAACAGTATAAATAAGTACAGTAGTAAAAGTAACACAAGATAATAAGGGCAACAACAACTATTACAGTGGTAAGGTAATCACAAAAAGAAATGCGGCTCAGCACCAAAATAACAATCGGGGATCTCCCAAGATACCATCTTGTAGTCCCAAATATATATATCCAATGGATCTCCCGGGATCCTGTCACGTAGTCCAACTCATAGTACGTGGGGATCTACCGGAATCTCGTTCCGTAGTCCCAAATGTAAATACCCAATACTGGGGGAATCTACCGGATGCAGTCTCGTATTCCATATAACTGTGCAGGGGGATCTACCGGAATCCCACATCCGTAGTCCCAATGTAAATACATAATAGCAACAGGAAAATATTCAGCAAATGTCAATTTCATATTAAGGCAAACAAGTAATTCTAGTCTAGCATGTTGCACAGAATTCAGGTAAAGCAGTTTGAGCAAATAAAGCAATTAAATCACTTATACATGCTTTCCTATTCTAACAACAAGCTTAAAGTACAAGTAATATAAACAGAGAGGGAAACATACTAATAATTACTTAATAAAAACTAAATTTTCAACAATTAGCACAAGTACGCACTCGTCACCTCATGTATAAGGCACTTCAATTAAAAATAATACCAAATTCTAAGGGGAAGGTCCCCCACACAAGGTTAGGGAAACCACTTACCTCGAACCGGCTCAAAATCAACTCGAAACCATATTCTTGCCACGAGTACTCGACTCCAAATGGCCCAAATCTATTCAATTCAATTGCATAATGTAAATAACACTTCAAGCAACTGATTCTACAATTAAATTCTAAGCTAATATGTGAAATTAGGTAAAATTTATATATTTAGAGTGCTCATACTATCACGAGTTCATACATACCAAAATTATCCAAATCTAAGGTCAAACGCCTAATCAAAATTCGAATTCTAGGTCTAAGAACTTTCTTCCAACTTTTCCCCAGTTTTCATCTCCAATCCGAAATTAAATAATGAAACTAACTATAGATTGATGGAATATAACTAGAAATGATTAAAGAATTGTTACTCACTGATCTCCTCTTCAATTTCCTCCCAAAATCGCCCTCTCCCGAGCTCCAAATCGAATTTCCAACTTTTGAAACTAAACCCTCAAAANGGAATTGTTACCCAATCATTTCCTCTTCAACTTCCTCCCAAAATTGCCCTCTCTCGAGCTCCAATTTGACTTTTCCAAGTTTTGAACCAAACCCTCGAAATTTCATATTTTCGCCCACTGATTACCACATTTGTGGTCAAAGGAGTGCATCTGCGGTCTCGTACCTACGGAAGTATACATCGTATGTGCGAAAAGTCACTTAACGGGCTTGGTCCGCATCTGCGGTCGCTTGGCCGCATCTGCGAAAACCCAGCCGCACCTGCAGATCCTACAGCTTGTGCCAAATCTCGCTCCTGCGGCCACATAGCTGCTTATGCGGCGCCACACCTGCAGTCCCACACTCGTAGGTGCGGTTATGACAAAAAACCAATAGTTGAAGATGCTCAAACAAATCCCAAATTCTTCTGACAACCTTCTGAAACCATCTCGAGGCCCCCAGGACCTCAACCAAAGGAACCAACAAGTCCAATACTACTGGCCAAACTTATACCAATTCTGAAAATACCTAAAACAACTTCAAACGATGAATCAACCGTGGATTCAAGCCTAAGAACTCCAAAACTCTAAAATACGCTTTCGATCAAAAAGTCTATCGAACCTCGTCCAAATGACCTGAACTTTTGAACACACGTCACATTCAACACTACAAAGCTACTCCAACTTCCAGAATTCCATTCTGACCCTTAGATCAAAATCTCACTGCCGAATCGGAAATTTCAAAAATTCAACTTTCAGCATTTCAAGCCTAAATTAGCTACGGACCTCCAAAATACAATCTGATCACGCCCTTAAGTTCGAAATTACTCAACAGAGCTAACGGAACTGACAGAATTGCATTTTGAGACAGTATTCACAATGCTCCGACTATGGTCTAATTTCTAGAACTTAAACTGTCATTTAGGAACTAAATATCCCAAAACTCTCCGAAACTCAAAACCAAACATCCAGGCAATTTAAAATAGTAGAAATAACCACGGGAAAAGTAGTTAATAGGGGAATGGGGCGTTAATTCTTAAGACGATCGGCCGGGTCGTCACAATCAGTCACCAAAAAATAATTATGTTAAAACTAGACAAGAGATTCTGGATGTAATTACCTTGTGAGGATCGGAGTTCCAATATTTAAGAAGATCTTTAAAGTGAGATTTCGGAATATCTACTGGCCTAATCTCCATTCGAAGCTCATCATTCTCATAGGTTGTGAAGTGATTTGTCTTCAATTGACTCTTATACTTTCTCCAAGCACTACAAACTGATTCAAAGACCCATTGTTTTGCCTCGTCAGGACTGTCATATTTTTCCTAAAAATTTAGTGCAATTGGGTTAGTGTAAGAAATAAGAAATATCATCCATGTTTATTAGACATTGGGAACTTCATACCTTGATATGTTTCCACATATCATCTTTTGTGTCTAGTTTCCTCTAATTAAATACATTAAGAGGACCAAAAGTCTCACTCCTTGCCAATGTACTGAGGAAGCTACCCAACTCTTTTACAACCTCTTTAGTAGGACTAACGGGTTGATTATACTCATTTAGAATGATTATTTTACGCTCCTTTCTACCATGAACCCTTGACATTTGAGTACGACCTCTTTTTGTTTTTGGCGAGGAGGGGCCTGCAAAACAAAGATAATCATTAATTACTATTTTTAGTTAAGTTTATGATTAAAATTTATATATATTTGCCTTGTTCCTTAAATTGTTCAACTGCTTCATGAGTGGTAGAATCATCAGATCGTTCATGTACTCCCTGTGATGTAGGAGTGATGGAATCCATATTCCCTTGTTGAACTTGTTCATGTACTCCTTGTGTTACTGAAGAGGTGAAATTTCGTGGTACTTGCTGCACTTGCTCTTGCAATTGAGATCCACCTTCGCATTGTCGTTCTTCATTTGCATTTGACCTTAGAGCTTTCAAGGCTGTTTTGTTGTCAACGACGAAACCTTTTGGTTTCGCAAAGATGAAGGTAATCCACCTTCTGATTGTCGTTGTTCATTTGCATTTGACCTTGTAGTTTGGAAGGTTCTTTTTGTTGTCAATGACGAAACCCTTTGATTTTGCAAAGATGCAAGTGATCCAGCTGGAATGTGGTTGGATATTTTCTTATTTTTGCTTGAGCACCCTTCTTGATTCATGACTATTCAAATATTTTTCGGATTCTGAAAAGCAAAAACAATATAGGTTAGAAAAAGCAGCAAACATAGTATATCATTTCTAAAATATACCGGTCCGTGCAGCACCAAACTTCAGGGTTTAAGCATCAAACTCTCTGATTGCAAGACAATTTGAATCATGTATTAACATCCAAACAACTGACTAATTTACACTTTTTGACCAAATTACTCAGAAACATGATATCTACCAAATTAGAATGCTGAGCAACCTAGAAATCTGTACTCAACCAATTTTCGAGATACATTACCGAACAGATGGAGAAAAATGGATCTGAAAATGGAATATCTAAGTACAAAGATTAAAACAAACCTTGTGGCCAGAGGACGTAAGCTCTAAGAAGACATACAGCTTCTGAAGATCTGGAGAATTCCAACTTCTCACCAAATCAGTGACTTACTACAAATTAAAATCTAAATGATAGGGAGCAGATAAATGGATGTCAGTTGAATGAATAATGTGAATGAACTAAGCCATTCCGCGTGAGAGTGACGACCAAATATCATTTATATTAGCTATAATATTGCTATAATTTTATGGAGGATAGAAATTACCAACTAAACCAAAGAGGACATGGGAGAAGGGACGGGCCTCAACAACCGAACAAATGTATCCGAAATCTCTCTCAAATCCTGCAAAATTGAAGCATGTCAGAATAATTTTCTAAAAGATATAAATAAAAATAATCATAAAATATTTAAAAACAAAAAAGCCATTATCACTCACTCAAAAAAGAATTAACTTAAAATAATTTCATAATTTTGTTATTTAATCATTTGCTTCCATCCAGTCCCAATCAGTATCATCAAACCCATCCTCCTCTTCCGATGTTTCCACAATTGTATCATATGAATTTTGTGCATGAGATGGAATATCAATGATATCAACGGGTACATCTTCTCTTGACCATCTAATGTCATCATCATGTAATCTAGATGAGGAACCAATGTCATTATTAGGTTCCTGCCAAAATGTGTCTCTAATATTGGGACAATTCTCTTCCTCTAGATCATACAAATCAACAGGTAATTTACTCCTTGCATAATAAACATCTTTCTCAATTGGATCCTCCACATAAAAAACTTGATAAACTCGTGATGCCAACACAAAAGGGCCATCTATACTGCATAATCTATTGAAGTACACGTGAGTTAACCCATAATCATCTATTTCATTACGAAACCAATCACATCTAAACAGTACAATACTAAAACAACCCCTATAATCAATCTCAATAATATCCTTAATTGCTCCATAATAGATAACCTCTCCATCGATGGGATTTTGGTCCCTAGAACTAGCAAAACTATATGTTGTTTCCGATAAAGTCACTCCACTATTTTGAGTCTTGTCTCGGGAATCCTGTTCTTTAGTATGAAATTGGTATCCATTAATAAACTATCCCGTATATCTTTTGGCTACCATATTAGGTCCTTTGGCTAGCCATCTTAAATAATATGGCAATACAATATTTTTAACTTTTTCATTAAACCAATTGCTGAATTCCCGACTATGATCCCCCGCTCTTACCCATGCATTTGATCTACTATGATTAACAATTAAATTTTTAT